TTTTTTACTGACCGGTAACGGGATCGCAACCCTTGGTGTCACGCCCGTACTGGGGACCGGCAATGGGATCGCAACCTTCGGTGTTGCGCCCACACCGCGCTCAGCCAGTGAGCGGGAACCGGTCTCCACATGGGATCCGAACCCTTGGCGGGAGCACCGCCGCACTCCCAAGCGGCGCACTCTCCAGTGCACCACTGGGCCAGCCCAAGCCATATAGAATTTAATATCAATAAATACAGTATATTCTACATCTTTTGAAATGGCCATATAACATGGACACATGTTACATTTGATGTAACGTGTTACATCAATGACACAGGAACATTTCAGTCCTGCAGAGAGAGAAAAATATCCTTTGCATTTTGCCAAAATCACCTGTGTTGTTTTATTGAATTTGGTCAAGGCATACAGGGATGAAATAATTCAGTAACTGAACCATTTGAATATCTGGTGTGGAAATAAAAATTTTAAGGTATGAAATCTTCAATTCTGAAAAATAACATCAGTGAATAGGACTTAGAAAGCTACATTTGTGTGCTGTTATGAATCCTTGGGATTGTGCCAAAGTAGGAGATTTTATGTACCTGAAGTGGCTGAAAACCCACCAGGACAACCAAGGGCTTCCCAGAGTGCCCAGGAATCCAAGTGTACTCCACAGCGTTCTATTGGACATCCAGCACCCACAGGCTACCAACAGCAAGAGCAGCTTCATTGCGTCTGTTCCATTTTGAGCAGATGTATCTCTTCATCAGGTCCAAACTAGTTCAGTTTTATTTTTTCTTTAAAAAAAAAAAAATTGCTGTTCCATTTTGAGCAGATGTATCTCTTCATCAGGTCCAAACTAGTTCAGTTTTATTTTTTTTTTTTTTTTAAAAAAAAATTTCTTTTCTGCCTATGGTAAAACTAAAGGTCTAACATATATTCCAATCTCTTCTGACAGAGAAAAAGACAAGCATATGAATCCAACCTCATCTGTCAGGGCTTGCAGCTAGAAGCCACAAGATCAGTAAGTGTGGGTCCCTTTTCAACCCTTGGCTGACCATTATTCACTTGGAATGCTGGGGTGGCATTAGAAACATGCAGTCCCGGCCACAACTTAGTCATAGACAGAGAAGGGAGTTGATCAAAATCTGCATTATATAGAATGTGGTGTTTTCTTCTGATCAAAGCCAGCAGATCTTTTTTAATAGCTGAAGAATTTAATAATGAACGCATGTATGAATGATTGTTTTCTTTTTTAAGAACCTTTAAAAGTTTTTTATTATATAAACAATAGTTTATGATAAAAATTAGAAAATGTAAGAAGAGTCAAAAATCATCTGTCTTAATTATCCAGAAAAAAACCTGTAATCCTTCTAAACTTTTTTATATTCTCCTTTCAAAAAGGAAAATTATCATTTCACAGTTTTATAATTTGCTTTCTTCCTTTAGTATATACTAAATACATTTCTATATCAATAAATATAATTCTTTGATATCATTTTTTAATGGCCATATAACATGATATTGACCAGATATACAATAAATTTAATAGCTTATTTCTAGGTTTAGGAAATTAAAATTTTTCCATTTTAATAGCACTGCAATGAATATTCTAGTGTTTTAATTTTTAGTCACCAATTTGGACGGAGTGATGGACAAATTAACAAGCTGTTTTTTTCTCCATTTAAAATATTAGTTTTATGAAATAACGATATTTGAATTACTTTTTAAATTCTACAAGAAATTATCTTTAAGGTGAAATTTATGATGGTTTGCAAATTTATTTTTATTTTATCTTCACTTTTACTGGTGTCCTGTGTGTATGTATGTGTGTGTGTGTATACATTTTTGAGATGATCAGCAACATAAGAAAAATCTATATTTTTAAAAATTGTAAAAATAGTTGGTTTCCTAGTCTGTGTTTTTATTCTTCCAACATAGGTTTTGGATGACAAGATTGTATTTGTAAAAGTCCATGCACCATGGGAGGTGTTATGTACATATGCTGAAATAATGCACATCAAATTGCCTCTGAAACCCAATGATCTGAAAACCCGTTTCTCAGCCTTTGATACTTTGAACTGGTTTACCAAAGTCCTCAGAGTGGATGAAAGTATCATCAAGCCAGAGCAAGAGTTTTTCACTGCCCCATTTGAGAAGGACCGGATCAATGATTTTTACATTCTTGATAGAGATTCCTTCTTCAATCCAGCCACCAGAAGCCGCATTGTAAGTCTAAACCAAATTTAGTTGCTATCTTGGGGTGATTTGGAACCTACTATTGAATAATTAGTGGGTTGGTTTGGTTGGTTTAGTTTTGTTTAAAAAAAAAAAGTCAAGAAAGAAATATGCGTACATATTCCTGTTGCAATAGTAAACAATGATTGGATTGGTTAGTTATAGCATATAAACCATACTGTGTATTTTGGAATCTTTTTAGGTTTACTTCATCCTCTCCCGGGTCAAGTATCAAGTGGTAAACAACGTTAGTAAGTTTGGGATTAATAGACTTGTAAACTCTGGGATCTACAAGGCAGCTTTCCCACTCCATGATGTAAGTCAAATGGCAAAAATAAAATAAAAAACTTAATGTATACTGTGGTATTGACAATAGGGAAGCTCTATCTTTCCTGATGTTAAGTTTCTTCCTAAAGCATGAAGATAATACACTGCAAGATTTACAGGCTCATTTAGGGCAAAAACCAGGTTGTATTATTCACTAATGGATCCCAGGCATAGAAAAGGCACTCATTTTAAAGGAGTGAATAAAGGAATAAATGGTATCTCTCCCATAGTTACTGTATAAAGCAGGATAGATTAGCAGTTAATCTGTATTAGCATTTCAGGGCTGAAATGCCTACTCTGCCACTTTATAGCTGGATGACCTTGTGAAAGTCATTTAGCCTCCCTGTTCCTCAGTTTCTTCATTAGTAAGATAGGGATAATACTAGTACCTACCTGAAAGAGTTGTAACGAGGATTAATTAAGTTAATTAGTGTCAAATGTTAGCCCTGGTATATAATAAGTACTGTATAAGTGTTATCTGTTTCCATAATTGCTGACGGATGTTTTTATCAACCAGAAAAGTATTAGTTCTTTGTAAGCAAAATACATGTTAGACCTTATTTATCGTTTCCTGTTACACAAACTGTATTCTCCCTGAAATACTATTTCAAACTGTGCCCAGAAATATCCCAGGGCTTTTAAGAAGGTATCTGTCAGGGTTCTTGTCACAATGGCAATACCACAGATTATTGATATTTTTCGAGGATTATGATCTGAGTCTACAATAGCCCCATAAATTCTAGAGTACTTCTCTCGCTGGTAACATTTCTCATGAAATGAAATTTTTAAAATATGACTATCTCAGACCCTTAATCATTCCATAAATGCAGAGACATTGTATCTAAAGCTGTCTAAATAAATTCTGTCATTGACCTAAATTAAATATTATATTGCATTATTACTTTGTTACATTCACTATCAATTTATCTGAATCTCTTAAGACCAAAGAAAACAAAGACTGAGATTGATAATTGCTGTTGTGTGGTCCATGTATTTGTGGATGAAGACAATGGTGAAATGTACAGAATAAGATAATAAAACTAAGACACTAAACACCTACTTGATATATACGTGGATAAGTAGAGAACAGAGAGCTGGATGGAGAAGCAGAAGCTCAGCTTCCTAAGAGGCCCAGTGTGGCTGTCCAACCAGATAGCTCTTGTGTTTTATTTTTGTGCTCTAGCAAAATTAGCAATGATAGCATGGCATGAACTTTGGGGATGCTTGCAAATAGCTGTCATGAATATTAATCTGGGGTGCCAAGGTTTTATAGTATTCACTTGACATTTGCCCATGCCCAGGTCTTTCCCACTAAAGCCCCTTCTAATTACAGGGTCCCACATCCAGGCTAGGGAATGATCCTGTATGGTATTTGGGAGAGAAGTGAGTAGAGGTCAGGGCCCATGCTAAGCCATGGCTGGGTGGTAATCTGGGTCTAGTACAGTAGGAAGAAAAATGAGTCAGATAGGAAAAAGGGCCACTGAATTTAAGCAGAGGCAAAAGGTTTTGTTTCTTGAATAAGCTAAGTGTGTAACATGATGTCAAGCATCTTTGTTGTTTATTTCCTACATGTTGTCACAGAATAACGGCTGAACCAGGACAAAGAAGTCTGGGTTTTAGAATTGGCCTTGCTGCTAACCAGTCAACATTCAGATTCCCCACTGTCCAAGGAGGGGGTTGGCTATCAGGTGTCCCTCCCTTGTGATTTTGGCACTTGGGTGGCCCAGTTTTTCACTGGTTAGGACTGCCCCTAAATGTTGTAGGACATTAAGCATCCCTGGGGCCTCCACCAAGTACCTGCAGGCTCCCTGGGCTTGTAACATCCAAGCATTCATCCCCAACACATTCACAGATGGCTCCCAAGGAAGGTGATAATAGCCCCGGTTTAGAATCGCTAAAAACTAAATGATATTTCTGCCCCTTCCAGCAAGTGAGGACCCCTTATTCACAAATGACTATGAAATATCAGTACCATATTTAATAAGCGTATTTGTGAAAACATGGTGATTGTGAGGTTCACTTGTTGCCTTCTCTTCACAGTGCAAATTCCGCTGTCCGTCAGAGGATCGTAGCTGCCCTAGTGAACGATATCTTCTGTACAGGGAATGGGCTCATCCTCGAAGCATATACAAAAAGCAGCCCTTGGATCTCATCAGGTGAGTTATTGCAGAGAGCACTCCAGTGGGAAGTACTCATTGTGGAGTCCAAGTATATGACAGTACTCAAAGACTGTGGCCAACCAGGGAAGCTGACCCAGAGCTCTGAGCCTCACTGTCCAGAGTTTTTCACTCAGTCACCACATGTAGTGATTGAGTGAATAATCATCCATGTGAATTAATCTCTATTCTCTTCCTCTCCCTTGAGGTCAGACCAATATTATGTGGCTCAAATCTGCAAACCTGTAATCACATGATTGGTCTTTCTGGCATGGCCAGCCCCCATCCTGAGTCATCTCATTAGCACAAACTATCGAGGGGCCCAACATGAGTCACCTCATTAGCATGAAGTATCAGGTGTGGTCACAGGGGCCCACCATGAATAAAAAGACACTCCAATCTCTAGGAAATTCCGAGAGTTTAGAGGTAACCTGCTAGGATCTGGGAACAGAAACCTACCAAATTCTTTATTGCGCAGGAGTAAGTGTTAGATTTAGCTTATATTGTATGGTAAGACATAAATTTTCACTCTTTTTCTGTATCTACTGTTAAATACCATTTCATTGTATATAACAAGAAATAATGATTTGCTCAGGGCCTGTTTTCTCAAAGCATCAGATGCTTTCCAGAAACTTGTGTTGTTTGGACAAGGTGAAGGATCCTGGCTGCTGAAGAAAGAGAGGCCAAAAACAACAATCAAAAAAAAAAAAGGGCCGAGCCCATGTTCCTTTCCATCGTTGCTTCACTGGTAACCTGTTGAGGACCCAGACTGTTAAATCTTTGTCTGTGGTTCCCAGGGATTACCAATCTCTTTCCAAAAAAGCAAACCAAACAAACTGGAAAGAGCAACCTGTAGGAAATAGACTTGGCACAGAAAAAAAAAATAAAAGTTTTCCCCAAACTGCCATTTTTACCCTCGGAGTGACAAAAGAAGATATTATACCAAAAAGAGAAGGGAAGGAATCTATAAAAAAGGATCATTGTAAGAATAAAATGTAGCTCTTGGAAATTAAAAATGTGATAGAACAGAAAAACTCCAATAGAACACCTTAGAAAATGAAGTTAAAGAAATTATGCAGAGCACAGAGCAGAAATATAGAAAAGAAAAGGGGGAAAAGCTATAAATGAGAAGGTCGGTTCAGGAAATGCCATGTTAAATAATAGGAGTACCAAAAACCAGAACAGAAAATATAGAAAGGAAATACGAAAAATACTTGCAGAGAAATAGCTGCAGAGCTGTGCTGAAGACCTGAATGTTGTAAATCTCCAGATGAGAAGAGCCTGTGGAGTGCCCTGCCTACACGATGAAAACAGAGCCGTCGAGTCACTGCAATATGACATCTAGGAACACAGAAAAAAAAAAGAAGATCCTGTGAGCCTCGAGAAAGAAAAAGAAAAAAAAATCATCTGAAAAATCAAGACCCACAATAGCATTTTGCTTCTCAACAGCAACACTGCAAACTAAAGAAAAAGAGCAATAACTAAATTTCTGAGGAAAGCAATTTTTTTTTTCAATTTACAATTTCATATATGGCCAAACTTAAGTGTGAGGAATTTTTAGTTTAGATAAGCAAGGTAACGGAGGAGGTGCTCCAACAAGGAAGTGGAAGGCATGAGATTTAGTAAACAGGGAATCCCAGCACAAGACAGAGGCAGAGAGATCCCAAGTGACAGCTCTGGGTAGGGCTGGAGAGTCATTAATTCAGGCTGGAGGAAGTCTGAAGGGATTTATTCACAGAGCTGAAATTGATGGACTACCTCGTGTTTGAACATACTGAGAAAGTTATACATCTGAAGAAAGTCTGGGGTTGAATTTTTGGTAAGTACACAGAAAACTAAGCAGTGAACTATCAAGACAATTATTAATTCCAGGGAAAACAAAAATATTAGGAAGGAAAAAGTAATCATAGGAGATGACTTGATTCAGCTGTGAATAGTGTTTACAGAGTCCTAATAATGTAAAGCAAGGATATTGATCTAACCAGAAATTTTAATGTAACTATGTCAAGAAGATAGGAATGGAGATGTGGATGTGTAGAGGGGCAGAGGGTTGAAAGAAAGCTTAATCCTCACCTTCCAGAGTAGACGGTCAATAGGGGATACACAAAACTGAAAAACCAATAAGCAGCACTTCACACATATTATTTAGAGAGATGGAAGTAAATATTCAAAGAACCAGCTGTAAGAGTTGAAAGTGGCTGCTTCTGGGCAGCAGGAAATAGGGGAGGTGGCTGGGGACTGTTCCTTTTTAATCAGCCTTCTAGAGATATTTGACTCTTTAATGAAGGTATACTTAAAACTTTGATAAAAAAATCAAAGCTGAATTTAATTTAAATTGATGTTGAGTCGGGATGTTTTTGGCAGAGAGAGACAGTGATCAGAGAATATCATATTTGAATATCATTATTCTCAGCTTTTTATCAAGTAGGAGACAGGTTTCCATTTAAGATTTTTTTAAATTGACACATAAAAATTGTACATATTTATGGGATACGGAGTGATGTTTCAATACATGTATACAATATGGAATGATCAAATTAAGGCAAATAACATATCCATCACCTCAAACATTTGTCATTTCTTTATGATGAGAACATTAGAAATCCTCTCTTCCAGCTATTTTGAAATGTACAATACATTTTTGTTAACTATAATCACCCTGCTGCACAGTAGAACACTAGAACTTATTCCTCCAACCTAATTGTAACTTTGTACTTGTCAACTAACCTCTCCCCATCCCCCAGTCCCCCTTAACATTCCCAGTCTCTGGTAACCACTGTGGTATTCTGCTTCTGTGAGATCAAACTTTTTAGATTCCACGTATGAGTGAGATCATGTGGTATCTGTCTTCCTGTGCCTGGCTTACTTCAATTAATAATGACCTCCAGGTTCATCCATGTTGCTGCAAATGACAGTATTTCATTCTTTTTTTATGGTTGAGTACTATTCCTTTATGTAAATATACCATATTTTCTTTATCCATTCATCTGAGGTGGACACTTAGGTTGATTTATTCCTTTATGTAAATATACCATATTTTCTTTATCCATTCATCTGAGGTGGACACTTAGGTTAATTTGATATCTTGGCTGTTTTGAATAGCTGTAGTGAACAGCTATTCAAAACAGATATCTGTTTTGTGCAGATATCTGTTTGACATACTGATTTCAGTTCCTTTGGATAAATACCCAGAAGTTGGATTGCTGGGTCATATGCAAGATCTATTTTTAATTTTTTAAGGAACCTCTATACTGTTTTTCATAGTGCCTAACTACTAATTTACATTTCCACAGTGCATGAATTCCCCTTTCTCCACATCCTTGCCAGCATTTGTTATTTTTTATCTTTTTGATAATAGTTGTTCTACTGGGGTGAGATGATATCTCATTGTTGTTATGATTTGCATTTCCCTAATTATTGATGTTGAGCATTTTCTCATGTACCTGTTAACCATTTCTGTGTCTTCTTTTTAGAACTGTCTATTCAGATCTTTTAACCATTTTTTAATCAGGTTTTATTTGTTTGTTTTTTGGGGGGTTTTTTTTGCTATTGAGTTATTTGAGTTTCTTATATATTCTGGATATTAACCCCTCATTAAAGATTTGAAAAATCTTTCTGGTCTTGCCTACAGTGTAGTGAGATTGCCTTAGGAAGTAATGAACTCCTCATCACTATAAATATTCAAACAGAGACTGCCTGACCAGCTGTCTAAATGTGGCAGGATATATTTACTGTTGGACCAGGCACCTTCTAAGACTCCGTCTGGTTATAAGTATGGCATTTCCAGGATGGATGGTTGATAAGAACATGTTACAGAAGGCATAACAGAAGACAGGCCAAGACATCTCAAACCCATAGCTAGGCTTTACTCTCCCAGGCACTGTCCTCAGCCTGCCACTTGCCTGCCATCCATGAGCCAGACAGCAAAGTTCCAGTCATGCGAAAATGAGAATATTTTGTCCCTCTCAGCTCCTGATTCCACCCTCAGGTCCATCTCAGCCATAGCTGTGGCCCCCACCAGGCCTGTGACCTCTGGTGCTGGTCTCACATGTGCCCTTTAAGCGCTGGTCCAGCCCAGGGATGTTCCTATCTGAAGTCTCCCAGGATGCCAGGTTGTGCTCAGACCTAAGTCCCCACTAGACTAAGGCCAAGGAGTTCAGCTCAGCTCAGTCCATACGGAGCCTGAAGTATCATATAGGGCCTTAGAGCTAAGTAAATTTCCTACAGGTTCTACAGACCAAGACTGAGGCAAAAGTGAACCAGTCTAGGAAAATATCAGCAACAGCCACCTGAACAATCAATCGCTTCGTTGTTTTCTCCTTATCTCTAAATGCTTTCTTTCTGCCTGACTGTATTTGGCCTCCCTTTCAGGAAGAATTCTGGCACTGCCTCTTGCTCAAAATATCAGCAACAGCCACCTGAACAATCAATCGCTTCGTTGTTTTCTCCTTATCTCTAAACGCTTTCTTTCTGCCTGACTGTATTTGGCCTCCCTTTCAGGAAGAATTCTGGCACTGCCTCTTGCTTAGCCTGCCCTCTTCTCATATTGCCTATGTAGCTCCTTCCATTTTACCTCAAAGTACACCATTAATCAGTTTTTAAAACTTAGAAAAAATAGAAGTGCTAGATACAAGGAGTACAGAGCGGTGGATTCCTCAGTCATATCCATCCTGCCTTCTTTCATTTTCACAATGACTTTTATAAAAAATTTTGGTCAGAGAGAAATTCCACTACAGGTTAATATTATTGGTCATTTTATTATTTTTTTTTTTGTGATTTACATTCATTACATTTCCTCCAAGGAATTTCCCTAGTTAAGTAAAAGCAAGTAATTGTGAACAGATTGTTTTATGCATTTGTTTTATGCATATTAAGAATAATCTTTTGGAGAATGTATAAAATAGTGCTAGCTTTACAAAGAATGGTGGTGATAACTTTCTGTTTGTTCCATATTCAGCATTTTTTCCTCCCCTCCTCTATTTTAATTTACTTTGCTTCAACAGGCAAACCAGTGATAGTGATCAGTACTTCTATGACATGTAACCTCCTTTTTGTTTCATAGTAGAATTCAGGGTCTGCTATGAAAATGAATGTTTTAAGGGTGTATTAAGTCAGAGATTTAAGCTCAAAGCCTCCTTTATTTAAAATCAGAAATTAATATTATTATGAAGCTGCAGAGTGATTATTTGTGTCTTCTAAAAATAATTTCTATCTTTCTTCAGGAAATATTATGGAGAGAAGATTGGAATCTATTTTGCTTGGCTGGGCTATTACACTCAGATGCTCCTCCTGGCAGCAGTGGTAGGAGTGGCTTGCTTTCTGTATGGATTTATTAATCAAGATAACTGTACATGGAGGTAACTTCTGTTTATTCCTTGTTGCTGTGCTGAAAAGTTGATGAGACATAAAATAATTTTCAGGGTCTTAGACTGTTTTGGTAAAAGAAGACTCATCGTAGAACACTCATTGCTTTGGCTGATATACTATATCCCCTTTGTTCTGAGTATAATAACTAAGTAAAGTGGAAGGATTTTTTTCTTAGATAATCCAACCCAGCCTCTGACAAGAATATTACTCTTAGGAAACATTCCAATATTTTAAGACAATACTTTGTTTGAAAAAGAAAGGGGGACTGGAGGAAGGATTGCCCTTGAACTTCTGGCCCCCAGAGGAATGCTTCACTTAACCCTGCAGATGTGGGCCGAGAATAGCTCAGATTTCTTCAGGGTTTCAATGGGAAAACTGGTAAAGCTGGTGGTATTTTTCTGCTTTTAGAAATGACTTCTAAATATATATTAAGAAATGCCTGTTTAACAACTCAAGTAAACAATATTTGTTTTGTTTTTTACATTTAAAAAATTAGTCCTCACAATGTTGCGGGCGGAAGGTGATAGTTTGTGTTTGATCTTGGAATTCACTGTCTAAAGAGAAGTATGTGGGTGCCAGAGCACTCTGAATTTCATCACTATTCTGAACTGTGTTGTTAGTCTTCTGCTTTTGGTGGTCTCAACCTCCAGAAGGAATGCAACACTGAACCAGGCATTTTCTCTTGATCATTTGGCCCATGTCCAGGTGTGACAGCCAGATCAAAATTTCTGGGCACCAGTGATGAGCTGATGACCAAATTTTTCAAGCCCCGAGCACATCAGTCTGGCTTCCGAGGCAGGATGCTCACGTGGCAGCCCTGATACATACGCATAATTACCCATTCTATGTAACAGAGGACTCTGAGCATTTTGTACCTATTATGGCTTCTCAGCTAGAAAACTGCAGATGGTTTTTGAAGTACTCTCCCCTCTTTACTGAAAAAGAATTTTGAGCCAAAGGCTGAATGTTGATACCTTTTCCGTATATTTGTCTTTGGCTTCTTCATTGTTTTGTATATTGTTCCAGTCCCAAAAAAAGGGATCTCAAAAATACATTTTTAAAGGGCAAAATTGCATTTTTATGAGGTTCTCGTATGGTAGTTCTCTTTAAAACTCATTTTATGAAATCACCATTTGATAGTCACACCACATATTTTCTACCATTTCACACAGATTAATTTACAGAAAACTGAGGGAGCACCTTGGGAATATACTCTCTGTGCTCAAAACTATTTGGCTTTAATTATTTGATTATTGAATAGATTTAAAATGTTTAGAATATATAAATTTTAAATATTTTCAGATAGTTTTATTACACACTGAGTAGATTCACAAGAATAGAAAATATATTTTAGGTATAAGGAATAATGATCCATCACTCAATTTAAGAAAAAGAACATTACTGTTACCTTTGATTTTGCCAGATTACCTCCCATCCCCTTCTACTTTGGAAATAACCACTATACTAAAATTTTTATTTATTATTCCTTTACTTATGCTGTATTTTTAAATCATATATTTGTAGACCTACAAATATATTTAGTTTTGTATTTTTGAAAATAGATACATATTAGTGGAGGATTACTAGTTACTATTGGTATTTCCTCTTCTATAAAATGCCTGTTTAAAGCTTATGCCCCTTTTTAAAAATAACCTTGAGGTATAACATCGAGATATAATTTATGTACCATAAATTAAAATCCCTTTAAAGTGTACAATTCAGGTGTTTTAAGTACATTCACAGATTGTGCAACTATCACCACCATCTGATTTCAAATCATTTTTCTCACTCCAGGAGAAACTAGTGCCTATTAGCAGCCACTTCCTAAACCCCCTTTCCTGTAGTCCCAGCAACAACTAATCTACTTTCTAATTCTGTGAATTTGCCTAATCTGGACATTTTGTAAAAGTGGAACCATACAGTATGTGGCCTGTTGTGACTCTCTTCTTCCCTGTAGCAAGTTATTTTCAAGGTTCATCCATGTTGTAGTATGTATCAGTACTTCATTCCTTTTTGTGGCCAAATAATATTCCATTGTTTGGATATACCATGTTGTTTATTTACTCATCAGCTGATGGACACTTGGGTTATTTCTACTTTTGGGCTATTATGAATAATTCTGCTATGAACATTCATGGACAAGTTTTTGGGGGGACATATGGCTTCAAATCTCTTGAGAACATAAAAAAGAATGGAATTTCTGGGCTATATTGTAACTGTATGTTTAATATTTGGAAGAACTGCTGAAGTATTTTTCCAAAGTTGACTGCACCATTTTGCATTCCCACCAGCAACATATGAGGATTCCAATTTCTCCACATCCTCGTCAACACTTGTTTTGTTGTTTGTGTGTTTGTTTAATGTTAGCTGTCCTAGTTGGTATGAAGTGGTATGTCATTGCAGTTTTTGCTTTTATTTCCCTAATGCCTACTGATGATGAGCATCTTTTCATGTTTTTATTTGTCATCTGTGTAGCTTCTTTAGAGAGACATCTTGTTCGAATTCTTTGCTTATTCTAGTTGTGTTGTCTTTTTACTGTTGAGTTATAAGTGTTCTTTGTATATTTGGGATAGAAGTCCCACCTCTTAATACTATCACATTGTCAACAACTGAATTTTGGAGGGGACATATTAAAACTACAGCAGGTTTATTAAAAATCATTTCTCCTATTCTGTGGATTTTTCCACCTTTTTTTTTTTAAACGATAGTGAAGTAAACAGTGGGAGTGGAGATGTTTTTTCTTAATGATGTCCTTTGAAGCACAATAATTTTTAATTTCAATGAGATCCAATTTACCCATTTTTTTTCTTTTGTTTGTGCTTTTGGTGTCATATCTAAGAAACCATTCATAATCCAAAGTCATGATGATTTTCTCAATGTTTGTCTTCTAAGAATTTTTATGGTTTCAGGTGTATGATTTATTTTGAGTTAATTTTTGTAAATGGCATTAGGTAGGGGCCCTTTGTCATTTTCCATATGTATATCCAGGTGCACCATTTTTGAAAAGACTGTTCTTTCCCTGTTGATTTATGTTGGCACCCTTGTTGAAAATCAGTTGGCCGTACACTAGGTGTAAGAGTTTGTTTATGGCCTCTAAATTCTTTTCCATTGATCTGCATGTCCGTTCTTTATGCAGGCACCACACATTATTGATTACTGTGGCTTTGTAGTAAGTTTTGAAATTGGAAAATTCAAAACTTTTTTCTTCTTTTTCAAGATTTTTTTTGTCTATTCCGGATCTCCTGCATTTCTGTATGAATTTTTGGATCAGCCTGTCCATTTCTGCAAAAAATCCAGCTGGATTTTGATAGGAATTATGTTGACTCTAGGTCAGTTTGGAGAGTATTGCCTTCTAATATTAAGTCTTCCAATTCATTAGCAAGGGATGTCTTCCCATTTACTTAGTTCTTCTTTAATTTCTACCAATAATATTTGTACCTTTCACTGTACAAGTCTTTTACTTCTTTTTTTCTTAAATTTATTCCATTTTATTCTTTTTGATGCTATTGTAAGTGAAATTGTTTTTTGTTTTTTTTTTTTCTTTTCTTTTTGTCTTTTTCCGTGTCCGGCAACGGATTGCAACCCTCAGTGTCGCACCCGTACCAGACCGGGACTGGCAACGGGATCGCAACCCTCGGTGCTGCGTCCGCACCTCGCTCAGCCAGTGAGCGGGAACCGGTCTGTATGTGGGATCCTAACCCTCGATGGGAGCGCCACCACGCTCCCAAGCGGCGTACTGTAGCAGTGCGCCACCGGGCCGGCCCGAAATTGTTTTCTTAATTTCATTTTTGGATTATTTATCACTAGTATATAGAAATATAACTGCTTTTTGTTAGTGATTTTGTGTACTGCAACATTGCTGAGCTGGCTTACTTGTTGTAATAGTTTTTTGGTGGATTTCTTAGGATTTTTTTTTTTTTTTTTTTTGACTGGTAAGGGGATCGCAACCCTTGGCTTGGTGTTGCCTGCACCACATTCAGCCAGTGAGCGCACCAGCCATCCCTATATAGGATCTGAACCCGCGGCCTTGGCACTACCAGCGCCACACTCTCCTGAATGAGCCACGGGGCCGGCCCCTTAGGATTTTTATATACAATGTCATACCTGTATTCCTCTATATCTTTTTCTGGCTTGGATGCTTTGGCTAGAACTTCCAGTATAATGCTTATCTCAGGAGAAAAACATTCAGCATTTTACCATAAGTATGATGTTAACTATTGGTTTTCCATTAATGCTCTTTATCAGGTTGGGAAATTTCTATTCTATTCCTAGTTTTTGAGTGTTTTTATCATGAAATGGTATCGGATTTTGTCAGATGCTCATTCTGTGTCTTTTGACATTATCCTGTACATGGTTTTTGTCCATTATTCTATTAATATGTTGTATTTACATGGATTTCATATGTTAAATCATCCTTGCATTTCTAAATACATCCTACTTGATTGTGGTGTATGATACTTTTTATATGTTGCTGGATTTGGTTTCCTAGTATTTTGTTGAGGATTTTTACATATAGATACATAAGGTCTATAGTTTTCTCATAATGTCTTTGTCTAGTTTTGGTATTAGTGTAAAACTGGTCCCATAGAATGAGTTGAGAAGAGTTCCCTCCACTTTATTTTTAGAAGAGTTTGTAAAGCACTGGCATTAATTCTTCTTTAAATGTTTGATAGAATTCACCAGTAAAGCCATTTGGGCCTGGGCTTTTCTATGAGGGAATTTTTTTCTACCAGTTTAATCTCTTTATTTGTTATAGGTCTATTCAGGTTTTCTATTTCTTCCTGAATCAGCTTCAGTAGTTTATATCTTCCCTCCAAACAAATTATTTGTTGTTTTGACTATCTTTCTTCATTAGAGAAGTCGAATTAGTGGAACATGGGCCAGAGAAAAGGCCTGCTGGCTCGACCCTGCCTTGCTGCCTCTAGGGAAAGATAATCTTGGGCCACCCCTGTTTAGCTGTGTCAATTTCAGTGAGGATCACCAATTCTTCCCAGGTAGGATCGTTTTGTCAGAAATGGTCTGGTTGCTGAATGGAAATGTAACTCTGTTCTCGTAATAACTATGTCTATTTTTCTGAAGGTCATTTACTTTTATAATATCTGTTTATCCATATTTCTAAAGTTATGTTGCATTTTTAAATATTCATCATGAAATTTACCCAAGTTCAAGATATAGCTATTTATTCTTTATTCTGTCCCCCCACAAATGTTTTCTTCTCTTTTTATGCCTACAGAGTTGCAGGAGGTGAAGAAAGGATCCAGTATCTTGACAAAAGGAAGCCCCTTCTACAAATAAAGGGCATACAAAAAGGCAGTTTAACCAACCAACCAAAAAAAAAAAATGCCATTGCACAAATGTGATTCTCCCAGGGAAACTTGTATTTGTTAGGTATTCTCTGTTGAAAATGACATTAAGTAGGGTTTACACATCTCCAGTAGTTCAAGTGGGGCCTAGCTCTTGGCATGATTAGCAAAATGGGTTTTCCAACACATTTATTTTGGGGACTTTTTTTCCCCTGTGAGTCTTTAATTGGGTTGCCAAACCCCTAATTCATTTGTTCTGTGTTTTTTCTCTTGTTGAGGATGCTATTGGGTGAAATTTATAGGTACATTACTTTGCTTGGCAAGAATGGAGGGTGATTTGCTTGTTTCCCTATTTGACTGACTGCACTGCATTTCCCCATGTATTGCTAAATTGACTAAGATCTAAGAAAGACATCATTCTAAAAGATGATATTTCATCCAAACACCCTCTTGATATAGCCATGTAAATAAAGCCTTGCTGGCCCTGCCATGATAGCACTCTTGATATAAGAGCAAATCTTCTACACTTTGTCCTCATAATGTTAAGCCTTTTTTGGTTGGGGCGGGGGGGGGGGAGAGTAGCAACTTCCTCTTTTGGGACTAAAATTAAAACCGTTATGTATCTTCTTCCTGAATCCAGGTTCAGCTGACTGATTACAAGCAGAGAAAGTCTTGTGGGTCAGCACAGAACCTATGCTGAGTATGACTGGAACACTGTTCTCTCCCTAGTGTAGATCCCATAAATATATCACCTTTTGGTGGCTCTACCTTGTCCTTAAACTCCCTCCGACACACTAGTCTGGTGTCCTTTGTCTATTGGCTCAAGGGGTTGGCTTTTCTTTTTGGTGTCTGGCTGGTACCGGGATCTGAACCCTTGACCTTGGTGTTATCAGCACCGTGCTCTGACCAAGTGAGCTAACTGGCCAGCCCAGGGTCAGATTTTATGATTGCATTTTTCCCACGTGTGTTCAGTAAGTTTAGTTGCTAGCTAATGATCAGATTAGCTAGTGATTTCATTAAATACCTGGAAACAATAATTTTCTTTTCTCTGCCTTTGTTGAGTGGCCCTGTGTATTCGGGAAGGCGTTGAACAGTCCAGCAGGCGGTTTTCAGCTCTTCCTCAGCCTTTCCTTCTTGTGTATGCAGAACCTGAGGGTTAGCCAGAGGTGAGGATTAAGGTTTTCTCAGGTCTTTCCTGGCCATTTGCACTGTCTTACACATGCACATGGCCTTCTATAATTACAAGGAACATGTTGGAGTTTTTTCAGGCCCCCTATAGACATCCCATTCCCTAATTTTTCCTTTTAAGTTTTTTGGTTAACCTGTTGTTAACCTCTACTGGTATTGATGTTAAACCTCTACTGCTCATTGCTTTCAACAGACACTTTGGGGATAGGTCTCTCTGCACAGTATGAGCACTGAATATGAGGTCAAAAAATAACAAATCCTGAGCATGGAGTTTTTTTAGGAATCACCTACTAGACACTTCAAACAGTGACAGTTTTCCAGGGATGGAGTTTTCTGGGTAGCTCCAAACTACTTCTGCCCTCTTCAATGGCTGTTAGGCTTTTTTTTTTTTTTTTTTTTTTCTTTACAGCTACTAAGGTTGTAAAGCTGTTGGTTTTTAAGGTTACCATGAAGCTGGGGAGATCAGGATGGGAATAGTTCGAGTTAATATGCCATAAAATGTACTATTCTTCTCAGAGATTTAGCCAATTTTTCTCAAATAAATGCTCCTCAGGTTACTGCAAGCATTTGGCTGATTTCCAGAGGTCTGCAAAGGTTGATTTTGACAACTTTTGCCAGTGTTCTCATTGCTTTTTTGGAGGAGTGGCTTTTCTAAGATCTTTACTCAGCTATTCCAGAGGTGCTTCCCATATCCATTTGTTTTTGCTGAGTTATTTGCAAGGCCACCTCCTGCACAGCTCCAGTTCCATTCACATGAGTCCATCTGAACGGCTTCTCCTAGAGGGAGCAGTGGGCAACCTCTTGTTTGTTTCTTCTTATTAATTTGTAGGACTGCATCTACAAGGGTACTTCAAAACGTTCATGGAAAGATTCATATTACCTTTTTTTCCCCCCCAGCAGCTGGCCAGTACAGGGACCGAACTCTGGACCTTGGTGTTATCAGCAGCATGTTTTAACCAATTCAGCTAACCAGCCAGCCCCTATTTTTTTTTTCTAATAAATTGATAATGTTGTCATTCTTATTTTCTACCTGGAATTGATTTGTATGTGATATGATTAGGGGTTCAATTTCATGTTTTTCCATATGGATATTCTATTGTACCAGCCCCGTTTATTGAAATGTTATTTTGATCTGTTGGTTGTTTTTCTTAACCTATGCCAATAAGGCCTTATTCTTCAGAAGTGTTTCAACTATTTTGAGCCTCTGCTCTTCCATTGGATTTATAGCTCGAATGGGAAAGAACTGACATCTTTAAATATTGATTCTTGCAAATTATGAATATGATAGTGTAGGTCTTCTTCATTGTCTTTCAGAACAGTTTTATAATTTTCTGCAGATGAATCTTAACACATCTTGAATCAGATATATTTCTAGACACTTTATATTATTTAAGCTATTAAAAATGGTATTTAAAAAAAATTATTTCCTAATTGTTGCAGGTGTATGGGGACACAATTCCTTTTTGCATCCCTGAATATACTTTTATATATTTATTTTATATCTAGCAAACTTTACTAACTCATTATTTCTGATACTTTATGTGTAGATTCTGTTGCATTGTCTGTATAAACAATCATGTAATATGTTAGTAATAGTTTTCTTTTTTCCTGGCTAATCCTAATAGCTTTGTTTTTCGTGGCTTACTGTGCTGGTAGGGACCTCGAACTAAAAAGAAGTGGTGATAACAGGACTCTTTGTCGTATTCATGATCTAAAGGAAATACTTTTACCAGTTTGCTATTATGATTTTTTTATAGGATTTATGTAGCAAGCCTTTATCAGGTTAATCACTTCTATTCTTAGTTTTATAAGAATTTAGTTTGTTTCCTATCATGAATGGATATTGGATTTTATCATGCTATTAGAAAGGAAGTTCTAGTCATTAAATTTTTTTTAAATTAAGTGTTATTTCTCTCTTTAGCAAAGAAGTTTGTGATCCTGATATTGGCGGCAAGATCATAATGTGTCCTCAGTGTGATAGGCTTTGTCCATTTTGGAAACTCAATATTACTTGCGAGTCCTCAAAGGTAATTTTTATTATTTCAATCAATTACACATAATGAAAGATTTTTTTCTTCTAATAATAATCTAGTTATAACATAGAAATTAAATCTTTTTTGCTTTGAGGAATTCAGAAAGGTATTTTCCAACTACACTTCCAAACATTCTGGGAGGTAGTCTGCAATGCATGTGTTATTCCTCTTTACTTGTTTATTCTTTTTTCCACTGTTTTAGAAAAAATGAATCTTTGATTCTATTCCAGCTTCCTGAACGATTCCTTGAATCTTGCCAGAGTGATTTACAAAGGGAAAGAAACATAAACAAATATGTGTAAAAGTATGAATTATTTATTATTACAGATAATAAGTTGAGGCTGAAAGCCTTATCTAAAATTTCATGGCAGGTCAGTGAGGAAATGGAGGAACTGAAACTATTTGAGTATTTCAAGTAATCAAAGCAGAAATTCAAACCCAGCTTATCTCATGAGTTCTTTTTAGTAGGTTTACTATTATTAAGTATTTTCTTTAATTCAAGTGGATAGAAACCTGAAATTTGTACTTGTGTTTTCCCCCTTTCAAAGTGTGCTACAACTATGCTTGGATTTTTAGAGATCATGCTGGTCAGATTTAGACTGTACCTATAAAAGTGCATAAGAAAGGCTTTGTGTGTAAGTGATAAAAAGTATGTGTCTCAAAACATTCCCACAAAGCACATCTGGCTCCCCTCACACATGCAGATGGTCTTGAGCTCTGTGACTTCTTAAAATCCAGGAGGTGCAGGACAAGCATAGACACTGGAGGGAGCTTACTGCAAAGCAGGCTGGAAACTCTAGACAGGAAGAAAGATGGTCTGCTTACTTCAGAGCCTCTTCCGGACATCTCTGATGTGCTGTTCCTCCTAGTCATGATCTTTGTATCCCCTTGTTCTGCCGTGAGAGGGAACCATTATATGGTCCTAGAACATTCCAGTCTACTCCATATAAGTCTGATTTTAACTGAATGTATTGTTGTTATAGTGATGCCACTTTCTATGTTATACTTTGCAAAGTTCTTATATTTGTCTTATCACTTTAGACATACACAAAAACCATTTGAGATTTTACATTTTACAGACTAAAACACTGAGGATCTGAGAGATCAAATAATCTTCTCAGGGTCACCCACCGAATAACTGGCAAAGGCAGAAATTGACAGCATATCTGCATTTCTTGCCTTTACCGTATTTCTCACCGGCTGACAGTGGTAGCAGGTCCTTTGCTCTCAATCGAGCTCTGTTTGAAAAGCTGCTCCACCACTTAGTGAAGCTGATTGCAGGGTGTTGTCAACACATAGATTTTTATACTTAATTTATGAATTAAAATAGATTTCACTGCCTATTCCCCCAAACCAATACAAATTCTAGACTATAAATATCTGTTGTAGATCACACTTAATAAAAGACTTGAAGCTAGTAAGAGGGAAGCTGCCTTCCAATGATGTTGACTTGTAAATTAGAGGCTGCTAGTTAGCAGGCATCTCAAGGCCCTGGATTTAAGGCGGATGCCAACATTAATCCCAGAGGCAAATTTTGCTCCACAAAAGTACATGGGAAAATTCCATTTTCCTTAAGAAATTCTCTCCCTTATACTACCACCCCCCACCTCTTCTCTCATTTCTTCTGCTCCACCTATCCATCCTTAAGCACATGACTTTCAAATATGTCCCTATGTACATTTTTTCCCACTGTTTTAGAAAAAATGAATTTTTTATTTTATTCCAGTTTCCTAAAGGATCCCTTGAATCTTGCTAGAGTGATTTACAAAGGGAAGGAAACATAGGGAGAGAACATTCCTTGGGCTACAAAGTGGAATAGGGGGGAAAGGGGGAGGGAGAGGGAGGTTGGGAATAATTGGGTGGGGGACACGGGGCGCAAATGCAATTTGTGGTACTGGGTATGCTACCAGTATGAATCTGTCCCACACATCATGGGCATGAGGGGTGACAATCAGCTTTGTATCTCATGAATAGGAGAGAACATTCCTTGGGCTACAAAGTGGAATAGGGGGGAAAGGGGGAGGGAGAGGGAGGTTGGGAATAATTGGGTGGGGGACACGGGGCGCAAATGCAATTTGTGGTACTGGGTATGCTACCAGTATGAATCTGTCCCACACATCATGGGCATGAGGGGTGACAATCAGCTTTGTATCTCATGAATATTCATAACCAATAAAAAAAGAATAGGAATAAAAGGATAAATAGAAAAAAAAAGTTCAAAAAAGAGAAAAAGATCACTTTTTCTGGCTTTCTGTTTGTTGGTTAATTCATTCATACATTTATTATTTATTTTTACTTTTATTTTTCTTATTTTACTTATTTCTTTATTCATACATTTATTATTTATTTTTACTTTTATTTTTCTTTATTGTACATGTTTATGGGGTAGAGTTTGTTGTTTTAATACATGCATATATTGTATCATACATTTATTTATATGTTCATTTCTACCTCTTTCTTTTGGAAAGAGATAAAGTATTCACTAATTGACATGGATGCTAAAAGGGTTAACAAATTAGGAATATAAAATCAGGACCAAGGAAATGAAGAAACAATTATGCAAATAATAGGGATTGATAATGCTTTTGTGATTGAGCATTGAATGAGGTTCTTGGTAAGTTCTAATATTTTGTTCTTAGAAACATACTAAGTTATAAAATTTTGATTTTGCTCCTTTGCAGGAAGAAAGCATAACAACTGGTCATTTTGCAAGATTTCAGTTGGTTCCTCTGCTTAAAATCATCATGCCCACATATGCAGTTCTCTCGTTTCTTTCCTGTTCCATGTGACTGAAACAGAGTGCTGACTCAGGGATGCTCTTAACACAGCTGTCTTGCCGTCTCTGTGCCATCCTGCCAAGCAAGAAAGCCCCTTGCTTACTTTCTCCCCTACTTCCTGCTTCGTGGGGCATAGAGCAGAGAAGCTAACCATCTTATTCTTTTTCTTGGGGCCTTACTTCTCACACATGTGACCAGAATAGTCACTTCATCTGGGCCTACCTCCCTCTCATAGGAGTGCAAGGCGTCTCCCTCACCTTCAACTAGGCAGCTAGGGTGATCTTGGCACTGGCAGTAAACTTGCTCTTTCTCACTGCTGCTGGTTTTTAATGTTAGCATTGACAGATGTATTTCTATTGACTTTTTCTCAGAAGAGTAGAGGTTAGAATTCACAGACAGGAGTTTTTCTTTCCAGTGTGTGTGGGCAGAGGTGCCAGGGCAAGCAGGTGGTATCAAATGGAGGTTTGCATTGATTCCAAAAATGGGAGTGACATTGGACAGAAGGTTCAATACTAGCGTTACAATGTGCAGAACTATTTTTCATATAACTTTTCTTAGAATAATTTGCAATGAAGGATAAGGCATAACATTAAAAGACAATTTGAAGAAAATGGTTCCATAAGAGTCAAGCTAAAAGTTTTTAAATATGTGTCTTTGGAATCCCAGGACCAGAAGAGTTGATGGAGAGTATTGTCCCCAGAGCAGTCAGGCATTTATTAATTCTGTCCTCTTTAAATTGGATGTTTGAGAAGAACAATTAGATGACAGACAGGGATTGTGCTTTCTGACCGGGGTCTATGTGGATGATTGAGGTGGCATCTATATGGTTTGAAAACCAGGTGGATGAAAAGGTAGCAAGATGGATATTTTTTATGAAAATAGCATAACTAATGTTTTTACATAGATGAAAGTTTGCCCACTTTACCTGAGTGTAAAGGGCAACCCAAAAATTTACCTGAAACAAAGTAGACTTCCTATGTAGAAGCAACTTTGAGTTTTCTTTGGCATTTGAAAACATTTGCTTTTTTTACCTATAGTTTTTTCTACCTAGTCCCTGTCATCTTTATTTGTCACATTATCTATCATAAAGTAGGTATAATATATGCTTGCCACTTTATCCATTATATGCATAGATTTTTTTGAGCAAATGTAAAAGTACTCACTAATGAAAAATAGTAACTAATTGAAAGATTTTCCAGGAAGTCATAGAGAGGGATAACCTATTTATATTCTAGCAAAGAGATAAAACTTACCAGAACTAGTGAATAGAGCCTTCTTTGGCCAGATATGTTATTAATCACTCATGATTCTTATATTCATTGTAATGTTAGCAAAAGCACCTATGCATCCTTTATTTCAGTGGAAGCATCTGTCAGTGACAGTAGAAAAGTCATCACTGGCTTTGAGGAAGCAGAGCTCTTCTGGAGGAAAGCCGTCTCTGAATAAACCGCAGATTTGTACTTCTCTTAATAAGAAAAACAGGAATTCTGGAACTTACCCTCTGACCAGTGTGGGATGAAAAGATGCAAATCAAAATCTAAAAGTTGCTTAGAGGTTATTGTATTCTTAGAGCCATGCTACTTCCTTAAGTTCACTATGACAGCTCATAAAAAGAAACCTTTATTCAAAAGCCTGATAGAGGCTTTAACCTGAGTGGAATCTTAGCAACTACACCTCTTTCTTTATTGCAATATGGAAGGACTATTGGAAAATGCACTTTGGTTAACAGACAGGAGTTTAAAAAAAAACTTCAGACTGTAGAATATACAAAGCATTACATATTTGCTGATAACTGTACAACATGATTCATATATATATCATTATTATATTTTCCAGAAATTGTGCATCTTTGACAGTTTTGGAACCCTGGTTTTTGCAGTATTTATGGGAATATGGGGTAAGTTATTTTCATTTTTTATGCACTTAATTTAATAATATTATACAGTTTTATATAGGCTATCAAAGTAACCTAGGATTGCCCAAGCTTCAACTCCTCTAGAACTCCTTTTATAACTCTGAGGTCATTGTGTTGGTTTGCTTTTGAGTACATTCAAATCTACCTCAAAGTGTAGTGGCTTGAAACAACAAACCTTGTTTCTTGTATTTATCATTTCTCAGGTTCTCTGGGACAGCTGGGGGGTTCTTCAGGCATGGGTTGGCTCAGCTGATCTCTGTAGTGAGCCAGCTCCTCCACTGGGGCTAGATGGTCTGGCACTTAGGAGCCTGGTTTTGTGGGGCTCAGCTGGAAAGTATTTTCTCTGCTCCACATGGTCTCTCATCCTCCAACAGGCTGGCTCAGGATTCTTCATGTGGTTTTAGGGTTCCAAAGAGAAGCCAGAGAGGACAAGCCCTAATGCGTAGGCATTTTTTAAGCCTATGGTTGCATCAGGTTTACTAATGTTCATTCCATCAGCCAAAGCAAGTCATATGGCCAAGCCAGCATCGATGTATGGAGATGGGAGGACTACCCAAGGGCTTGGGTACATTCACTGGAAGCCATTATTGCAACAGTCCACACAGCTGTGATCCATCCTAAATTTGGTGGGGGTGTGGGTGGGGGGTGGGGAGAGAGCAGCAACACAAGGATTATGGGTGAGCTTTCTTTCTACATTTCTATATGAGTGAATATTTAATAAGTATGTGCTACTCTTACAACAAATTCTAGGTACTAAACAGAACAGATGCAATCCTAAATCATGTAATTCCTATGTAGCAGCTTTAACACTGTGTTCATATTGTTTACTTTGTATGGTATCATTAATGTAATGAGGCAGTTATTGTCTTTAAATGCAATCTTTTAAATGTTTAATTGATGTAAATGTTCTAAAATAGGAGAAAAGACGTCCAATTTCAAAGATAAAATTTCCAAGTTCAATGTGTATGTCAAGGGAACAATAGAGTTCACATTATAGGAAGGTGGGGAAGAAACTCTTGAGAGGACAGCACATCAACATATGGAACTCACAGAAAGAGTTGTTTACAGGTGTCCTCCACAGTATGTCTTTTTGCAGTGGATGTGCCTGTTTCGCTTTTGCACAGTCACCAAATGGATCACAAAACAGACAGTCCAATTATTTTGTACACTTTTTAGAGATATTACTTACTACTCCAGGATAAAGTGAACTGTAAGAGGGCCAAACTTATCCAATAATTTACATTGTCATTCAGACACTTAGCATGTTTTGGCTGAAGGCTAAAATCTGGCTAATATTTGACACATAGAAGAGAAAAGATCACATTCACCTATTAAGATCCCTGTACTCCTCTCCATTGTAAAAAACTTTTTTTTTTTTTTCCAGTAAGAGCTTAGGCGCCAAACACATGGGTCAGCACTTTCAACTATTGCCTTAACCATACTCTCAGCACCGATTTGTAATCTAGAAAATTCTTGCAAATCTATTGAAATTCATATACTAATAGATGCTGATAGCCCTAATTTAAGAAGGTAGTTTAAATCAAACAAAAAATATGTATTAATGTTGACCTTGGAAAGACAAACCTCAAATTTCCTAGGTAACCTTCCTTTCTCTGATTATTAACTGTACCATGTTTATGAAACTTATGCAGTGGGCTCATTTCATCTGATTTTAAAGGCAGAAAACAGTTCAGCACTGCTTATATCTTTAAGGATATGTATGTATGATGAACTCTTCATTTTAAGTATTTCATATCGCTTTCCTTGTTACCTCTGCCTTATGGGAGTTGCTGCTGTGAACCTCATTACAGAAAGTCTCAAACTGCAGAACTGAATGGCAGGAGACTCATGTGAACTTATTTGTATCCCCACCATCTATTCCTGTAGCATCTTTTCTGTGCCCACATACATGTGGCATTTAGAGTATTATTCTACTCCCTAGGGATTTTAAAAGTTGAGGGCAGAAAACCTTTTATAATCAATATAGTATCAATCATATAATTGTCTGAAGATTGCCCACCCTTTTAGTCCAAGCCAACCCTCCCGTTCCTACTGCCTCACAGAGTCTTTACTTCAACCCTGGGTGGTGTTTAAGGTTCCGAGCACCCTTCCCTCCCCATTCCTTGCTGCTGCTTACCCACTCCCACCTGATTCTCCCTGGCTCGGGCTCTTAGCTGCATGACTGCAATTTTCAATTTTCACCTTTGAGGGGTGAGTTCTAAACTGGGCCCAGTGATTTCCAGAAAAACACCAGACACCTGGCTCACTAAGGACCCAGGGACTCAGGAGACCTAACTAGCTGCACTTGGAGATCAGGAAATGGCACTGTTAGTTCAAGACCTGTGCTGCTCCTGCTGGGTCCACACCAGCAAAACGACACAGCTCCTACTACCACTACCACTACCTCTGCCTCTGCCTCCATTTAACTCGGTTTCTAATTTATGTGACAGTAATGGGCATTTTAAAAATCATATCTGGGGCCGGCCTGGTGGTGCACTGGAGAGTGCGGATCCCATGTGGAGACCGGTTCCCCGGTACGGGCGCGACACCGAGGGTTGCGATCCCGTTACCGGTCAGTAAAAAGGCCGGCCTGGTGGTGCACTGGAGAGTGCGGATCCCATGTGGAGACCGGTTCCCCGGTACGGGTGTGACACCGAGGGTTGCGATCCCGTTACCAGTCAGTAAAAAAAAGACAAATAGGAAAAAAATAAAAAATAAAATAAATAAAAATCATATCTGGAACTCTAACTGCAAGAGAGTCTGAGTTTTTAACCTTCTAGTCTTTGGTTTAGGAAGTTGCCGTGAAGGCTGAGCAAGCTAACTTACCTTACCACCTTTGTGAGTGAAGAGGTCTGAATAGTTTTAAGGCCTTTTAAAACATCCCAGACCTTCAGCAACAAATTTTTATAGCAAACAAAACACTCCCATCTACCAGAGTGTGTCTCTTGTCCTTAGACATTGCAGGATACAACACCACCAGTGCTTTACTGCTCTGAACCCCTTTTTTGTATTCAGGCATCCCCGTCATCTGATGCATGCTTTCTTTAGATGTAATAATGTCATGATTAAGAGCAGAAGTAGTTCTTGATTCCCAACTCCCAGGCGACCTCTCTCTTCTCTCATTGTATGTTGATGTAACAGTTTTAACTGTGTCTAATCAACTAGAGCCTCATGGTGTGTGGTCTGCCAGAGAACAGAAAGAAACGCAGTGCTCCCCGCTAGAGTTCTGCCAGTTGTCTGATTGCAGGGAGTGGGAGTAAAAGACACAGGACAGGAATTCCTGTCTGTGATAATGCAGTCACCCCAGGTCCTGGTGCTCTCAGTCTGGGACACACAGCATTGTGAGTCAGCACTGACATGGCCCAGGAGTACTCTGAAACACTGGGTGACTGTACGAGGTACCAGAGTCTTCCATAGACCCTGCAGAGTCCTCAGCTGTGAGAAATGAGAAACTAAAACTCCCACTCATTCTTGCAACTCTGCGGTTTGCCCTCAACATTGAGGATTTGCTCACAGCTCATTATTTTCTGCCAGACCATTTCTTGCTTACATCATAATCCTGCTACTTCCTAGGCAGAACTGCTCTTAAAATTCAGGATTTGGTCAACGGCAGCCTTTTTTACCCCTCTTCAGGGGAGAGGGAGGAAGGTGTCCACTATTCTTCTCTTATAGCACTGATCAGAATTGCTTGTGTTGCTTTTTGTAAGAAAAGTTAAGTTTACTTTCATGAATCATCTGTTGATACTGTTGCTAGATAGATACGGAGTAAGTGACTGGCTATCATACTCCTGTTTTAAAGATGAGGGAAATGATACTCAGGGAGATTAAGCAAATTACCTAAAGGCCCCATAGACAGAAAGTGACAGCGTGCAATAAGAGCTCTGCAAATTGGCTGTTATGAGCCTTCAGATCAATGACAAAATACAGAGTCCATTAATAATGTTGCAGCAAGCTTTTAGAAAGATGCAGAAATATTTATTTTGATTGATAAAATTGCACTATTTTGTTTGGAGCTCAGAAAAATAGAAACGGGTTAGAAAATGTCAGTTCAGTCTCCTCGCTTCTACCTCATCTGACATAGGAACAACCCCTACTTTCTATAGCAGGAATAAAAACCACTAGTCTTTCAGCCTAGTTCTAACAGGCTTATAAGTACCAGCTCATTTTATTTATACCTATAGGTGCCAAAGGGCAACAGGATTTTGATGGTCTTTGTCATGATTTCCTTTAAAAATAGTTATGTTTGAAGAGTAGGTTGACGTCTGTGAGGTAGGAGAGTGCACGTGATGGTTCCTCAGTCTGTCCACCCTGGACTCCTCCCGGGAGCCAAGGCGCTAGAGCTCTCACCACACCAGGCGATTGTCCAATTCTGTCTCAGGTTACCCAGGTTTCTTGCTGGAGACAGGATGTACTGAGGGCCCAAGCAGATTGGTATAGCAGAGAGTGGTGGGAAGTGGGTGGTCAGCAGAGGAGCGACCTCTGACTGATGATTCCCCACGGGTGATGGTCCTCCCGTTTCTGGCCTGGTTACCTACAATTTGTTCAAATATTCAGTGCATTCATTCATCAAGTACTACTATGTGCTAGTGCTTCAGCTGTAAACAAAACAAAATCCCTGCCCTCATGAAGGTGACCTTCTCACAGGCTTGATAGACTATAAACCTAGAAACAAATATAGGTCAGGATGCATGCGTATGACATATTTTGAAGAGCAGAAACGGGGTCAACATAAGGAATAAAGTGTGCCCTTTCTGAGAGAATGTACTCTGGAGTGATTTCACAGTTATAGAGGGGTAGACTGAGTAGAGAGGACTTTAGGGGTGGGTGGTATATGCAATGCTGGTGGTAGAATTCTCGGGTAAGTTATGAAGGAGGGGTCTTCTGTCTGATGGAGATGTATGGGTGTTTATTAAGGAGATGTGGAGCCTAGGGACTTTAGCAAGTGTGTGGCATATGTTATGCTGCTTGATAAGTGGCCCAAGGAGGCTTGGCTCACGAGTGGCTCATCTTTCCCAGCAGGGGTCTCTTTTGGGAATATCTGCCACGTGAGGCCAACATGGGTCAGGTGGGCAGCAAGACCAGCTAGTCGCAGCATAGTCCACAAAATTACCTAAGGCTCTCAAGATTTTCATCCAGTTAACAAAGAGTTCTTCATGGCCAGGGACAAGGGCACTCAGTGGTGGAGTCATCACTCTCCATACTTGAACTTGATTCTATTGTCCAGGTTTCTTCTACTCTAACTTACTGGTACAGGAAGAGTAGGAGTCAGAACACACACTGCTGGGAAATGACTGTGTTACCAGAGGACAGGGTCTGGGGAGGTCAGATAACTGACCTCAACCCACCCCATCCTGTACCAGGAAAGAATTAAACAGCAGAGTCAGAGTAGAAAGTGAAAACAGGTTTAATGTAAAGAATAAGAAATACACACTTCACAGGGAAAGTGTGGGCTGGCTCCAGAGGGTGAGGGGCAGCCATAGCAGGTTTAATACAAAAGTAAGAAATACATATGTCACCGACGAAGTGCAGGCTGGCTGCAGAGAGAATGAGCAACTGCCCTGCCTTCTTCCTGGATTCTACTTTTATGGTTTGGCCATCTGTACATATTCATACTATCTAATGAATATTCAGCTAAAGAGGTGGTTCTCAGTTACATAACAGGTGATGCAATATAGCCTTGCACATGTTCAGTTGGTCTCTTCAGAGCATTGGTCAAGTTCTGCCGAATACACTTAAAAGATGTGAGGTCCTCTCTAGCGCCTCCAGTGGAAGATCATTTGTAGAATAAACTCCTTTCTACTAAGCATGGTCAGCTACTGGAAATATATGTATCTGCCTCCTGTGGTCTCAGTCTCCATGTGCTGGTGCCAAAAATAGGTGCAACAAGCAAGAGTAGTTCAGGACTCAGAGGAGGGGCTTGAGTCCTAGGGGGGTGGCTTGAGAGCCAGGGGAGTGGCCTGAAACCTGACCTTAGGGAAACTGAGCGCCTCTATCTCAGGTGCTTTTAAACATCTCAGTTCTCCTCGCCACTCAGGAGTGTTCCCATGCTCCTTACAGAGCATCCCAAGATTTCCTTCTCTATCTCAGGCTGCCCACTGCAGGCAGGGTCTGTGGGATTTCATTCTGGCTCTCTTTACTGTCTACTCCAGTGATTCTCACCCCTGACTACTTCTTAGAGCTTTAAAACAAACACCTGTGCTCAGGTCCCATTCAACATTAATTAAATCAGAATCTCAGGGGTGGTGCCTGAGCTCACTACTTACTAAAAGCTTCCCGGTGCTGCTGTGTGCAGCCAGAGTGAGAACTACCACTCCACACCTCACTTAGTGACCTCACCCACTCCTGGCCCCACCTGCCACGTATAGCAGTGAAAATTGCTGGCCCAGCCCAGATCTTCTTCTTGCTTTCTAGACTTCTGCCTGCCTACTGGACATCTCTCCCTGATAAGGCAAATGAAACCAGCTGTTTTCTCTCACACACTTGCTCCTCTGACTGCACTTCGTATTTCAGGATATGGCGCTAGAATTTAGGACATAACCCAAGCTGGAATCCTGGCTGACATCCTTGACCTCTTCCTGCCCCTCTATCACAGCTGCATCCAAAAAGTCTACCTGCTCAACACCCCCAAAATATGCTGCCTCATCACATCTTGCCAGTAGGTCTCCTGCCTCTAGTCTCTAGAGCACCCTCAGTGTCTCATCCACCTTCAAGTTAAAATCCAGTCTTCTTCTGGCACACAAAGCCATTTGTGGTGTATCCCTGCGGATCTCTCATCTGGCTGCCCCACCCTCATGACACCCTAGGCTAATTCCAGATGATCTGCAGTTCCCGGAAAGTACCTGGCCCCCTCTGGCAGCTTTGCCTTTCCATGCGCAGCTCCCTGGGGGGAAGTGACCTTAAGGTTTCACCTGCTACCACCTTTACCTGCTCAGCTCTGAGTTACCTCAAGACCCATCGCAGTGATCCCCTCCTCTGGGAAGGTTTTCCCTGAAACTTCCAGTTAGATGTCCTGGCTCTGTGTACCCAGAGCAGCCCGTGCTTTTCTTTGTCATAGCCCTCGTAATAGTCTGCTGTACCTGTCACTTCAGGACAGTGTTGTCCTATACACCCAGGAGCTCTTTGAATAGGGACTGTGTCTTCTTTCTCTTTATTCTCAGCACATTGTAGACACTCGAGAAATATTTGTAGACAGAACATCGGTAATTCCAGAATTTCTATATAGGAAGGGCTTAGGGGTAGCAGTCTTATTGGAAGAAGGGCCTAGGGGATTTACTCTGAAACTGCATTTTTTCAAATATCATTTAATGTTTTTATTTAATATTTGAAGGTAAAAATTCTAAAAATTAGTGATTTCTGAAAATTATTTTATTCATACTTCATACAAGATTGGGAAAAATATCAATTTTTTATATGGAAGAATATTATTTTAACTTATTTGGAGAATCCTACCGTGTTCTCCACCCTTGCCCTCAGGCCCTTAGGAAGGGAGGGAGGGAAGGAGCCAGAGAAAGAGGGATGTAGGGAAAAGGAGATCAAAGGATGGACCACGAACTGCTTTTGAATTATGATAGTTATTTGTGGTTTCAGTTGGCAGTAAGGTGGCTAGTAGCAGATGCGTTAGCATTAGACGTACTCACGCGCCTCCTGACCATCACATCAGTCGTGACCTTTCCCATAAGCTACCGTCTGTTTCACAAGTCATGTAAATTATCAACATTTTAAAATATTTTTCTCCCTTTTAAATATTAGTATCATGTATAAACTAGATTTTATTTACGATATACAAGAGGGTTGTGGATAATTAATATTATTCAGTTCAGATTTCTGAAATATCAGTCATCATTAGAGAACCACATGATCCTGTTCTTTCTCCTTCTTTGTTAGTTACCTTGTTTTTGGAGTTTTGGAAGCGGCGCCAGGCAGAACTTGAGTATGAATGGGACACTGTTGAGTTACAGCAGGAAGAACAAGCCCGGCCAGAATATGAAGCACGGTGTACTCACGTGGTAATAAATGAGATTACTCAGGTATTCACTCTGGATGCTATTTAGATACAGTTTAGTCTATTTACTGCAGTGGTTCTTTTTTCTCAGCCTTGGCTATCACATCAGAATCACCTGGGGAGCTTAAAAACGATTGATGCCTGGGTTCCATCACTACATACTTTGATGATACTTCGTAGCCAGGGGTGTGTTCTGGGCATTGGGTTTTTTTAAGCATCTCTAGAACAGTGGACATAAGAGACAAATGTCCCTTCCCTCCTAATTACAGTAAATATGCAAGAAAAAAAATTAAAAAGACTATGACATAGATGTATGAGGGTACTTCAGAAATTTCATGGAAAGGTTCATATTATCTTTGAATTTCATTTTTCTGCAAACTTTTAATACCCTCATATAAGGAAAGATGCATTGGTTTTTATAGTTGATTCTCAATTTTTCACGTGCACCTTTATTATTACAGTCCCTATTCATCCTTAGACTAGCTTCTCCTTTATATTGGACTAAGCCTCAGTCATTGCTCCACCTTCTGGCCGGGATGTGCACAGAATAGCGTGGCTCTCCTAAAGTCAGAGAAAGGATAGATGAAGAAGGGAACATTTATTGAGGTCCAACTATGTCCAAGCACAGTGCTTGGTATTTTATATCATCGGAAAGGTAGATTTGTTGCTGCTACTACTGCTGCACAAATAAAAAGTAAAACTATATATTTCTAATAAATATTCTAAAACCCCCAAAAGATGATTTTTGAATCATCTGCATTATTGCTTCTTTCCATCTACACAAAATTTAGAGCTGATTGTATTTGCAGTCATCAGCATAAGGACAGTAGGTTCTGAATACAAATAGCTTTTGGAAAGAAAATGCCTTTACCAAGAATGCCTGAAAATGTCCCCAATAATAGATTTTATAAATTGAATCACAGATGTGCAGAATCTTGGCACTAAAAGGGGCTGGAGAGAGCAGTTCAACCTCCTCACTTTATATGTGGAAAAAAATGACTTTCGGTTATCAATAGAACGTGACATTTGTATTTTACAATGTAAGAAGCTTCAAATAATCCCTGTTATGGTTTCCACTGTTTACTCGAGAAGACATGGTCAAAGCATGTGTGTTGACAGATTGTATATTCAGAAATGAAAGCTGAAACTTAGAAAAATTAGATGTTCATAAAGTCTTTTGAGTACTGAAAAATGTTCATAAAGTCTTTTGAGTACTGAAAAATAAAAGCTTATAATATTGGCAACATAGGAAAGATGATGAAGAAAGGATAATTTGGTCATTTAAACCCGCCAACTATTTAAAATCACCAACTAATAAGTTAAATTNAGATTTTATAAATTGAATCACAGATGTGCAGAATCTTGGCACTAAAAGGGGCTGGAGAGAGTTCAACCTCCTCACTTTATATGTAGAAAAAAATGACTTTCAGTTATTAATAGAACGTGACATTTGTCTTTTACAATGTAAGAAGCTTCAAATAATCCCTGTTATGGTTTCCACTGTTTACTCGAGAAGACATGGTCAAAGCATGTGTGTTGACAGATTGTATATTCAGAAATGAAAGCTGAAACTTAGAAAAATTAGATGTTCATAAAGTCTTTTGAGTACTGAAAAATGTTCATAAAGTCTTTTGAGTACTGAAAAATGTTCATAAAGTCTTTTGAGTACTGAAAAATGTTCATAAAGTCTTTTGAGTACTGAAAAATGTTCATAAAGTCTTTTGAGTACTGAAAAATGTTCATAAAGTCTTTTGAGTACTGAAAAATGTTCATAAAGTCTTTTGAGTACTGAAAAATAAAATCTTATAATATTGGCAACATAGGAAAGATGATGAAGAAAGGATAATTTGGTCATTTAAACCCGCCAACTATTTAAAATCACCAACTAATAAGTTAAATTTCTATTGAAATGTTGCTTGTTAAAAATGGCAAGTGAAGGTTCATTTTTCTTTATCTTTTTTCCTCACTTCACTTTTTTTTTTTTTGTCTTTTTCCGTGTCCGGCAACGGATCGCAACCCTCAGTGTCGCCCCCGTACCGGACCGGGACCGGCAACGGGATCGCAACCCTCGGCGTTGCTCCCGCGCCTCGCTCAGCCAGTGAGCGGGAACCGGTCTGTATGTGGGATCCGAACCCTCGGCGGGAGCGCCGCCGCGCTTCCCAGGCGGCTCACTATAGTAGTGCGCCACCGGGCTGGCCCCTCACTTCACTTTTATTGCTAATATATCCTCCATATATTGATTTAGATAATTTTGTAGTATGATGGGGAAGTCTTAGGAATGAGACTGCCAGAGTTTAAGTCTGAATATAGCAACTTACTAGTTGGGTGATCTTGGACAAATTATTTAACTTCTGCGCCTCAGTTTCCTCATATATAAAATGGGAATAATAGAGTTGCTTCCTCATGATTGTGGTAGAGATGAACTGAGTTGATATATAGAACCTGACTCGGAAGAGTACCTGGCACAGAGTAAATGCCATGTAAATATTTGCAGCTATTTTTAACGATAGCTGCTCTTATAATCTAAGTATATCATGGAAAGTATTGATTTCTTGTCTTAAGAATTTAAACATATTCTTATAAACTATAAAATAGAAACTCTCTAAAAATTTATTGTTATACCAAATTAATATGTAAAGGTCAAACAAGTAACACATAGTAGATACCTAGTATTTTCAGACATCTGTGAAACTTTCTGTCCTTCCTGGGCTCTGTGCTGTCATCTAAAACCCAAGACAAGCCCAGGAATGTAGTTTTACAATTGGGCACTGTAGATACCCATACTCCTGAGCTTTGGTCATGGCAGATAGTTCACTGCTCATGTTTGTGTTTTTCAAAAGCTATTATTAAAATGATCACCGCACATGTTGTGGGGAGGTGGTGTTTGAAACTATTAACAAAAAGTGCACAGTTATGACTAAGGAGACTATGCTTGCAAATTAGTTTTTTTTATATTACATTATTGCCAGATCAGGAGAAGAATAATTTCATTGGCATAATCCTTGATTGACTAAGCTTATTTTTTTTTAATTAGGAAGAAGAGCGCATTCCCTTTACTGCTTGCGGAAAATGTATACGGGTAACCCTCTGTGCAAGTGCTGTCTTTTTCTGGGTAAGAGTCTATCACAAAATAAATTTTTTAGTAATTCATTTATTTTTTATTATATAACACATTTTTAATATCTAATTTTAAATGTTGAGGAAACTAAAAGCTGAGCCTGGAAACTATATAGTTCATAGACATGTTTCCAGAGAACTATTTAGCCACCACGTGGAGCAAGTCTCAAGGTTTCAAAATATCTTTGTTCTCAGTGGTTCTTCCAGTTCCTTTCACTTCATTTGTTTAAATCAGGTCAGTGGTTCAGGATTTTCCATTTTCTGGTTTAGAGGCCGAATAGGAAAGCATTAAGAGTTCTAAAATTTTCCAACAGCAGCAACCAAAATAAAATGTCTAAGAATAACCTTAACAAAAAGATAATAGAAACTATCAAAGAAAACATAAAAACTACTGAAAGACATTTTAAAAAGCTTTAAATGAATGATTCTAGATGAAAACTTAGAATCAGAAAAAATAAGTAAAAAATGTTAAGGAAGGCAAATGAAAAGCTGCCCTGCCCGTCCGAACAAATATTGAACATATCAAGCACCCTGAAGAATATGGAAACTTTCCGAGTTCATAAAAGCTCTGGAATGAGTTAGAATTCATGTCATACACCATATGGGAGGCAGTGCCATGTAGAGGTTAGTGTGTCTTTGGAGTCTTTGGGGATCCCAATTCTTTTACTTACATGTTGTTTCACTTTAGGCAAATTGCTTAATCTCTTTGAGCCTCTATTTCCTCATCTGGAAAAGAGATACTACCTACCTCACAGGCCTGTTATGAGGATTAAATAAATACACATGTGCTGAGGTAAACAGCAAACATTTAAAGAATTTTAACTATCATTACTTAATAATTATAAAAATTATTATGAAGATAATTTTTAAAAATACATAGTATTTAAATGGTCTGTATGTGTTATGCTGAGAAAGGAAGACTTGATACATTGTCTCTAATTTTTCTCAGCCTTAGCTAATTTTTACATATACACACAAAAGTCGTATTCATTAAGACCTAAGTGTGAAGAAAAGGAGATAATGAAAGAGATTACAGAGGGAAATAAAATGCCTTCTCTACAAGAGGATTACTTAAAAAGCAAGAAAAACATCTTTTTCACACTTTGGTAGCTATAATCATAGCTAATATTGATTTAGTGCTTTTCATGTGCCTGAGCTTAATGTTCTGAGTGTTTTTACCTGTAGTAACTCATTGAATCCTCAACAATTGTAGAAGTTAGGTGCCATATTATCCTCATTGTATGGGTGAGGATATTGAAGCCCCAAAAGGTTAATTTTTGTAAGGTCCCACAGCTAGTGACAGAGCTGGGATTCAAATGCAGGACTCTGGCTCCAGGATCATCCGTGATCACTTCCCTCACTGCTTTCCACAGGTGAAACCAGCCTCTCTCTGTCATAGTTGGCAACGTGACATGATTTGCTTGGTCCTGGATTTCCCATTGTCCGTAGCTTCTCTCTCTCATGACAGTCATCACGGGCAGCCAGATACAGTGAGAATGTGGTTCTGGAGAAAGTAGATGTAGGGAAAACATTTAAAGATGCCTCTCCAGGAGTGTCTAATACCGTCTATCAAGTAAGGAAAAACCTGTGGGACCTTTAATGAGCACTGGTCAGTGGCTCAAGAAAGTGAAATCCCACCGCGTGCAAACTATGTTTCAGATGCCCCCACTGACACCAGGGACAATGCAATCAAAAGTACAGTGGACTAATGACATGAAACTTTTAGACATGGAGGTATACATCACTGCCAGTTTAAGATCTTAAGATCTGAGTGTGAAAAGCTTTCATCAGCAGAGACCTGCTGCCAGTACCAACAGTTGGCTCAGGGCACCTCCGTGCTGACTTCCCTGGCCCTGCTCAGAACCTCTCCTGCTTCAGTGATTAAGACAAAGGCTAGCCCTTGCTGACATTTTAATTGGCGATAGGTTCTCTGGTGAAAGGAGACATGTCTCCTTAATGGAGTATAATTGAGCAAAAAACCACTAATTCACAACCTAAATAATTCAGTAATTGTAGAAGGGGTGTTTTCTTTGGTTCTATACTCACAGACACTTTTTCTTTTCACCAGAACATGCTACTAGTTCTTTCATTTTTATGCTTCTGAAGATATGCTTTCTTTTTTCAGAGTTCCCATAGCCCCCACTCCCTACACAGAGTTCCTGTTGTTAACATCTGACATGAGCAGATACACCCTCTTTTGACTTCCATCCTTCCTTTTCCTTTCTTTGAAATTCAGCATGCCCAATTTTCCATCTCTCTTGTGGCAGTTATATGAGATTTATATCACTTTACACATGCACCTTCTTAATTTAAGCTTGGGGTCAATTTTTAACAGTATAAATATGACTATTGATGAGTCTCATGCTGCTCCATTTTTGTGCTTTCAGATCCTATTGATCATTGCTTCAGTTGTTGGGATCATTGTCTATAGGCTGTCAGTGTTCATTGTATTTTCTGCAAAACTTAAGAACCTTAATGGAACAGACCCAATCCAGAAGTATCTGACACCACAGATGGCCACGTCCGTCACTGCCTCCATCATCAGCTTTATCATTATAATGATTCTGAACACCATATATGAAAAAGTGGCAATTATGATTACTGACTTTGGTAAGGTCCTACTACAGCTAAGTAATTTCTGAGACATTTTCAGAACCTGGTAAAAATAGAGACTGTATCTTTTAGGCATTTCAATTCCAATAGGTTACCATTTTTAGAACTTTTCAAGTGTAAACATATTTTCGCTAACCTGTATGGGAAATGAATTATCTACAGCTTTGCATTAGTAAAAGGGACAAAGCAAAGACAATCATTATAATGTCCAAGCTCTGTGTAAACAGATCAGTGCTGAATAATATTTTCAATTACATTAGATCCATGTACTCTATTGTTGAAAGTAAATAGACTTTTTATTGCAAATAAGTGGAATAGGGTCACGGTTCCAGTGGCAAATATGCTCCTCTGTTGCTGAGAGGACAAGCAATCTCACTGCTGCGTGTCTTCCCCATGCTGTTCATATTAATATAATTCTCATCAGCTCTGGCTTTTGCAATAAACGTTTCTTTTCTCTGGCTTGTATCCCAGGCAGCTACTTAGTGGCCAAAGTTAAGTGCTTCCCACATCCTGCATATGTCTGGGTCATTCTCTGAATGGTCTGCTCGGTGGTCATCTAAACATGATCAGACTGATTCAAAATACAATGTCTTCCCTGGATTCCTCTAGCAAGTTGCCCCTTGTTTTGTTATTTGTTTTCTTTGACAGACCCACCTTATTGCAATTCAGGAAGACAAGAGAATATCATTTAGCAAGCAGCCGATAATATTTGATAACATTGTGCTTATAAATTTTAAGGAACTGCTTATTATTATTACTATTTTACCATGTGTTACACTGTATTTTTGTGGGGGAAAAAGCTCATAATAATGCGTAAACAGAACTAACACAGTAGCTATATTAAGAAATTCAAAATAGCTTAAGTGAAAAGTGTGAAGTGTATTTTTTTAAACATGTTAACTCATGTATCAGTGTCTGATTAAGATCTCGAAGCTGTTCACAGTTTTAAAATCTTATTTTTCTTTCTTTTAACTACAGAACTCCCAAGGACCCAGACTGATTATGAGAACAGCCTAACCATGAAGATGTTCTTATTCCAATTTGTCAACTACTACTCTTCATGTTTCTACATAGCATTCTTTAAGGGCAAATTTGTAGGCTATCCAGGCGACCCAGTTTATTGGCTGGGAAAATACAGAAATGAAGAGGTGCGAATTTAAAATTGTGTTCTCTCAGTAATTTAAGCTGCTTTGTGTTTTCTCTGTTGCCCAATGAATAATTTCTTCATTGTACATTCCTTAGTTTTTTGATTTTTTAGCCTAAAGAGAACATATCAAAAAAATAAAACTGTATTTCAAGCTATACTCATCTAAAATTTAAATGGGATTTTCTTTGGAACATTCCAGTGTGACCCAGGGGGCTGTCTTCTTGAACTGACAACTCAGCTGACAATAATCATGGGAGGAAAAGCAATCTGGAATAATGTACAAGAAGTATTATTGCCGTGAGTATTAAATTGTGTAATCTTGGGTAAAATGACAGGGGATAGAATAGTCCACCCATTCAAATCGTTTGCCTACATATCCACATAGCTGCATGAACACCTCTAAAATGGATTGGAATCTATTGTTATTAAAGGTCTTCAGACAAGATAGTCCAACCAATAGTACAGACATATCCAGTGTTTAATAATTGTTTAAAAACCTTCTTTATATTTAATGTAAATCATCACCTGCTACAGTGACAGCCCTTTGAGAGAAAGCCCTGTTAGTGCTGTGAACTGTGTATTTCCACAATTTCTCACAACATCCTCCCTCCTTTTTATTATGCATTTACAAGTTAATAATAGTAATTTGTTGAATTCTTAGTATGTGCCCTGTGTTAAGTACTTTATCTCTCTCTCTCTCTCTCTCATTTAATCTTCCACAGAAGATTATTATTATTTTTATCTTAATAAGAAGATATCCTTATTTTTATCTCCCTTTTGCAAATGAAGATCTGTGGTCTAAAGAGGTTAAATGACTTACCCTAGTTCACATTGGCTATAAGAGGGTACTGTGGAATTCAAATCCAACATCCCATGACTCCAAACCCATGTGCTTTCAAGAATAGAGGTTCTCTTGTGATCCTAAGGTACAGGGATACATAACGTTTTAAGAGATAATTATTTAAAAATAATAACCACAAAGGTTTTGACTTACTGTTGTTTTCCCTAAAAAATGAGAGCAGGATATATAGTTGTAGTTCAGATGTTAGCTAAGATCCTACTGTCTGTTTAAATTTTCACTTAAGCCCCATCCCATATCAAGGTGAAAAGCCCAATGCTATTGCAATTTCTGCAAATTTCAGGGAACTTGTTGTATTAGTTTTCTGTTGCTGCTATAACAAATTACCACAAAATTGGTGGGCTAAAGCAACACAAATTTGATATTTTATGCTTTCAAAGGTCGGATGTCTCACTGGGCTAAAATCAATGTATTACAAGGGTTGTGTTCCTTTCTGAAGGCTTTAGAATGAATCTTTTTTTGCCTTTTCTAGCTTCTTGAGGCCATCCACATTGTTTGGCTTTTGGCCTCTTTTTCTCCATCTCAAAGCCAGCAAAGTTTCATGTCTCTGATTCTTCTGCAGTCACATCTCCCTCTTCCCCTCTCCTTCCAGATTACTTCACCAGGCCTCATCTTTCATCTTAATGTGAATTTTCAGGGTTTTTCTCTAAAGAATCCCTCCTTCCCATCTCTCCCCTTATCCCCCTGCAGAAAAGAATTCTGGCTTTATCTGTGAAATTAATTATTTTTTTCCTACAATGCAGAAAACAACCCCTACTTTCATTGAGCTCATATTCAGATTTTTCCAGAGAAGTAAAAGTAGGTCATGCACAAATAATACTATGTTTGCATCCATATGAAAATAAATATATAAAATACAGGAAAGCTTTAACTCATTCTTAGATTTAAAAGCATTTTCTGAGTGAAATAGGTTAATTATTTAACACTAAGTTTTGATAACTAATTGGTTGTCAGCAAGTAAGTTTCTGATTTAAAAACCTAGGGTGGAAGGTATATTTCCTACACTGGTACTGAGACGTTCATATGACATGAAATTTGTTCATATGAAGGTAGTATTCATGACCTGTTTATACTTTCACTTCAAGTAAACCCACTGTTGAAAATTACAGTGACCTGAACTTTGCCTTCAGGTGTTTCTACTCCTAGCCTAAAGTATTTAGGCAGCATGTTTTCAATTATCTTTTCCTTTTTTTGAAAAATGGGAATGCTAAGTGTTAGCCAATTACAGAGTGATTTGGGCTGCTGCTTCTCTTCGTATAGGCCAGTTTCCTTTTTATATATATATATATAAAAGCCTAACATATCAAAAATATTATCAGTTACTCTTGCCACCCAAACCTACTCCCATCCCAACAATAGATAGGAAGGGAGAGAAAAGCCTTATAAGTCAGCAACTATTTTCACATCATGTTAATATAGCAACAGGAACATGGTGAAATGTATTTCACCATAAATTTACTTTCCTCCATTTCTCTTGCCCCTGTTCAGGTCCATACCCCTTGACATGGATTCTTGGTACAAGGAAAGTAGCCTACCTGGCACTGTGATCCAGGTTCCCTTTGGGGTCTCTATGCCTAGCCAAGTGCCTCATATGCTTCCAATACATAACAGCAGTAAATTATAAAATTGTTTGTTGGAGCCAGACAACAAACTCAGATCCCTTTGGCCTTCCCAGCTTCGCTTTGTATTTTGATATCTGAGGCATTTCTGGGAATTTTTTAAAAACAATTCTGTACTTGACAAAAGGCTAGTACAATTCCTGTGTTAAGCAGCTCACTCTGGAGAAATTTGTGTGATTAAATGTTAAGGAAAAAAATTCTCAAAATGCATGTATCATCATCCTTTGGTGTTTAGATAGTGATGGCTGTACTTCTGTTCCTTTATATGTTTTCTATATTTTCCACAATGGGTATGAGCTATGTAAATGATAAGAAAAGGGTACTGTGGAATTCAAATCCAACATCCCATGACTCCAAACCCATGTGCTTTCAAGAATAGAGGTTCTCTTGTGATCCTAAGGTACAGGGATACATAATGTTTTAAGAGATAATTATTTAAAAATAATAACCACAAAGGTTTTGACTTACTGTTGTTTTCCCTAAAAAATGAGAGCAGGATATATAGTTGTAGTTCAGATGTTAGCTAAGATCCTACTGTCTGTTTAAATTTTCACTTAAGCCCCATCCCATATCAAGGTGAAAAGCCCAATGCTATTGCAATTTCTGCAAATTTCAGGGAACTTGTTGTATTAGTTTTCTGTTGCTGCTATAACAAATTACCACAAAATTGGTGGGCTAAAGCAACACAAATTTGATATTTTATGCTTTCAAAGGTCGGATGTCTCACTGGGCTAAAATCAATGTATTACAAGGGTTGTGTTCCTTTCTGAAGGCTTTAGAATGAATCTTTTTTTGCCTTTTCTAGCTTCTTGAGGCCATCCACATTGTTTGGCTTTTGGCCTCTTTTTCTCCATCTCAAAGCCAGCAAAGTTTCATGTCTCTGATTCTTCTGCAGTCACATCTCCCTCTTCCATGAAGATGTTCTTATTCCAATTTGTCAACTACTACTCA